GAAAATCAAATTGATCAAGATTTGAATAGATAAGAATAGTGAAAGCTAAAGGATATGTTAATTCTTCAGGTGAAATTATTGTTTGACTTGTGAATAGAGTACAATCTTTTGGAAACGAAAAATATGTTTCTATCTGATTTTCTAATTGTGTCAATTCATTTGTTGTTAATGCTAAATTTGATTGTTGAATAAGACGACCACATATTGTGGTACTCAGAAATATATCAAGGTTTGATGGAGATGTTGGCCATGAGGTAGATCGAAAAATAATAAGCCAGACTAAGAGATATACAATAATGCCAATGTATAAAATACGGCGATTAAAATCTAAAATAAAAAAGTAAGCAATAATAATAGTATTTTTATTATATATTTTATTTGTTATACGATATTCATTGGTATAAATATGTTATCCTTATTCCTAAGTGGTATTAGTTGTGGAGAATATTCTTGTACTTACTTAGATAACCACAAAGGTTATGTCGATGATACTATATGAAAGTTATAATCATAAAGAATGTTAGTCAAACATTCTACGTTGACATGCTTATCAATTTTAAGCATAGTAGCACGAGTACATTCGTCAGTAACATAGCGATCAAGTATCAGATTATTCTCAATTAGTTAATCAAGTAAATTTTGCACTCGTTTTGTTTTATATTATCACTCGAAACGCATAATAAGGAAATTATTATTTATACAGTCAGATATAAATGTTTCATTGATGCTAACGATTCTGTATACCTAGATTATGTCTTGCCATATTTAGAAAAAGATCTTTCTTAGTAAACATAATATATGTTAATACATAAAATTTCGATTGTGAAAAATAAGAATTACTGTTGAAAGAATAGATCGATTTGTATTACAAATTAGTATAATAACAATGTCTTATATTATAACAGCAGCAATAGTCATAAATATAAAAAATTACGTAATACTTTTCATCTATCTTGTTAAATTAATAATAAAATAATGAAGTTCTACTTTATTTTTTTCTTCGAAAATATTAAAAACAATGAATAGTTCGTCTATTTACTTACACTGTTTGAAAGTAAGTTTTTTATAATTTTTGGTCGACCACATGGTAGTATCAAATAAAAATGCATCAGCGTTCACGTTCTGCTTGATTGATTTTACCTTTACCTCTTCCTCTTTTTTAACATTTCAAAATGATATATAATCAAAAAAAAAAATGACAACGACAAACAATATGAAATGTTTTTATCATCTAATATAATAGAATTAATTTTTTGTTTCATATCGAGTAATTAGAAAACAGTCTGAAGGTAATTATAAATTTAATAATTGCATACTCGTCAAAATAATAATTAATTACTATCTTTCAGTTTTTTCTTAACAAATCACAAGATAATTATGCAAATAATTTTACTTCGTTAATTAGCATTTTTCTTTTATAGATGCGCGATATAAAAGGAGTATTTATAGCAACCTTCGAGATATTTGTATTAAAAAATCGATCTCTTCGATTATTATTTTTAAATTAACTCATATCATGGAGTACTTTATAAAAACATTTATTTATTCATAAACTATGTTAAATCTAAAATTCTACACTAAAAAAAAAACAAAAATAAAAACATTTTTAAAAGTCTATAGATTGATATTCTTAAAGGACAACAACCATTAGTAAACAAGTTAAAATAGCTATTAATTGCATATTATTTTTTAAATTTTGTCCATTATTTAGTTCCGTTGTCATTCGTAGTTTAATACCTTCTTGAATATCTTCAGTAGGAAAACTACGAAATAATTTTCTTGTGCCAAGTGGTCGAACAGGTCGATATGTATTTGCCATTAATTTAGTTTTAAAATCATGTAAACCTCGAAATGCATTAAGTTGGTCCATTGATATTTTCAATGGGTCGACTAAAACAGTCCATAAAACTGATTCATAGCAAGGTGGTGTTGTTAATGAACCATCATAACGATAATAACGTTCCATACGTTTGTCACCAAGTAATTCTTTCAAATCAAATAAATCACTAACCTCCGCTTGATAACCTTCATTTTGAATTTTTGCTAATGCTTCGATTAATGGTTGGAATGATGGATTTGGTTTTTCAGTAAGCTAAAATTTGAAGGAAAAATATATTATTGAACGAAAAACTGAATTTTACTTCAAAGAAAACACCAACAACAGCAAGAGCTCGTGTATTAGTCATCGCATCTCGTATATTTGCATACCATTTTGAATAAGTAACTATATGCATCTTTAAAAAATAAATTTATTGATATGAAAAAATATTAATTAGTCTTTTTTTGTACTAACTTCAAGTGGATATGATTGTCCTTCAAACAAATGTTCTGAACCATTAGTATTATCAGCTGAATGACCCCAATGAAAATGAAGTTGTTCAACGCTATATTCTTCACTTCCGGGTGCTAAATTCTTTAAAACATATCGCTTTTTTAAATCAAGTTGTACTATAACATTAAAATAAAGAGATTATTACATAAAATAGAAATCTATACAAAACCTGTATGACCATTATTGAGAAATTCGGGTGTTCCTATAAAAACGAAAATTTTAATATGAAAGAATCTGTATATTTGTTATTATTTACCCCATGTTCTCTGTTCTTCTAAAACTATTTTCTTAAGTCGATTATCATAAGTTGATACATTATAACGAAGATCAATGGGTGACTGTGAATGACCAGCACAATAGCGATTTCCACGTCCCCATGTTTTAATACTGTCATAAGACCATTGACCTATACAAAGCCAGTTCAATAATAGAATTATCTTATTTTAAATGAAATCCGTTGATATAAAAATAACTTTACCTGCCGATTCAATAACAATTGGTACAATTAATAATATTGTTAATACAAATTGCAACATTTTTCACGTTAAGATTAATTATCACAAAAATCTGAAAAATCCTTTCGATTCTTTCAAAATATCAACAGAAATACATAGATTTATAGTTGATATTTCCCAGATGTAGAGATATCGAAGAAAAATATGATCGGTTATTATTATTTTTTCTAATTAACCAATACGGTATGCAAAATCTGATACTATTTTGATTCTATATAGAAAGATAGATAGTCAGGTTTTTATTCGAATACATCAGTCACGTATATCTACTATCTAATCATTGAAAAACTATAATAATTACTATATACTACAAGAATAGTAGATCTAGGCAAGTATCTATCTATGACGATAGAACGAAATCTTGTCTGTGAATCGAATATATAGACTTAAACTCGTTATTTACTCATAGGCGTTTTATTGACCGATAAATTCTCACATATAAAACATTTAACTATACGCTTCAATTTTCCACCGTAGAAAAGAAAAAAAAACAACCACCAAAATCGCATTTTTTACACCAGAAAGTAAGAGGGCCTTTTTTTCTTCTTTTCGCAAATTTCGTCGATTTCCTATAATCACTGATTATATCGAATGATTTCATCCTTATTAAAAAGTACGAATATTCCTTAACGATAATTATTTATTTTGCTAAAGTACATTACAAATGATCACGCCAACTATTTTTTTTTCTTTCGTACACGAAATATGTGGTATTTTTATCGAAAAGCAAACAGAACTGTATACAGGTCGTAAATCTCATTATGAAAAAAAATGTCTGATATACGATGTACTTTCAACATCTATAATGGTTTTTATAGAGTGCATTGAAATAAGTTGTTTGACATAGATATCAATCAGTATATCGAAATATTTTCTAGGGAATATACAATTAATAGAAACATAATTGTTATTTGCTAAATACATGAAGGTTGTAAATACAAGGGAAAAAAATATATCGCAATAGACAGAAACAATCTACCCCATCTTCAACAATTCTCTAATATAGATATAAGTATCGTTTGAGAACCTACACAAATTGTTGTTATCATAAAGACAGAGTAATAACTAAATGGATGAATAATAAGCAGATATAAAAAATAAATAAAAGGATATCTAAACATTTACCTCAAATGATTATAGGTCATTTATATTATGTGAAAATAATACTGCATCGGATAATAGAAAATGGATGATCATTTATACTGCGGGTTTTCTCTCTACTCTTTTAATCATTTTGAGGTAATTTTTTTTTTTTCTTTTGTTAAATGCCAAGGTTATTATAATAACAATCAAAATAACAAAAGCGTATATTAGGATAAAAAATATTTTTTTATGTCTTAGTAAAGATAAAAAATGATAGGCCGTCCGAATAATACAAAGTGGTATTCTTTTTAATCATATATAGATTCGTTATTAGAATACGTGACTTATGATGTGAATATGTCAGTTATCGTATATTATCGAATAATTAATTATAAATCGATGACAGGAAAATATTGATCGCATACAAAAAACGACGTTTGTCTTTCAATTCAATTTTGTCATTCGTTTATTTCTGTTTGTATTTCTATTGCACAAGCAATAGGTTGTTTTTTTTAATTACCATTCATTGACGTCATATTTTTCAAGGTAGATACTAAAAAAGTATTCAATACCAATAGAACTATATTTATTGGAAGATTAATCTCGTTTAAAATTTTTTTAAGAATAATGATTACATATGTAAAATAGAATAAAACATATGTTATTCTTCTTCACCTTCACCATCACCATCACAATACTTGCTCGACGAACATTTACGACAAGAAAAAGATATTCCTTCATCTTGTTCTTGTTCATTAACGATTTCATCTTTCATAGCATATACATTCGCCAATGGAAGTGGTTGATCAATCTGATCTATGTTTGAAACACCAATAGATTCAGCTAAATTTCGTGCATTTTCAATACTTAATGTTGCTGGAAAACAATATTGAACTACGAGACGTCCAGGACGTAAAAGAGCAACATCCAATGATTCTAATGGACAATTAAATGTAGCTAAAATTTGAATATGAATACCATCACTTAAAAGACCATCAGAAAGATTAAGTAAATTCGATACTGCTTGACTTGATGCACGTGTTCGAGTAAGACTTGATTCTGCATCTTCAATAATTAATAATGAATTTGGAATACCAATTAATAGAAGTAAAAGTGCAGGATTTGTAAGTTCATTAATCATATCAGCTGGAAAATAGATAATAGATTTTTCTGTTGTATTTACGATACAGTTAAGTAAATAACGTATGTAATGTGTTTTGCCTAAATAGAAATTAATTATTATCATCTTAATTTTAATAAATAAATTAAAATTCGTTACCTGATCCAGGTGCTCCATGTAAGAGTACAAGACCATTCGTATCTTTTTTATTTAACCATGTAACAGTTTTATTATGTGCACGAAGAAAATCATGTCCACCATAACTCACAGCTAAATTACTGATATATGGTTTTTTTATCAATGTATTTCCTCTTGTATAAAATGATCCAGGACCATTACAAGTATCTTTGTATCTTCCAAGAAAACATAAATTAACTACTTTAGGCTGTATAAGACTTAATGTATCATCATGAATTAAATCGTGAGCAAGTTTTTGTACAAGATTTTCATGTTCATTTAAATAGAATAAATAAATTTGTTCAACAACCAGATAATGATGATCTTGTACATAGTCTGGTTCAATCGATTTATTAGAATTATTTGTATAATTAATTACCCAATGACATTGATTTAAATGTATTAATATTCCATTGATATTAGATAATGATACAACTTGTTGAGTTGTATAATATTTCTTTGAACATTGATGAAAATATCGTCGAATAATTGGAAGTTCATTATTAATACCATATTGATCGCTAAGTCGATCTAATACAGTTTTAACATGGAATACTATTTGTGATCCTTTTTCTTTTTCTACAGGCAATAAACGTATTTTCTGTGGAAATTGACCATACTTTGATAGAAATAAATATTTTACAGGTATTTCGTTATGAGCTGGTGGATAAGATTTCTTCACAAGTTGAATAGCTTCTTCCATTAAAAGAATTTTTCTTCATGTATGTTTATTTTACAAGTTTCTTTTATATGATCAACTTTATTGATTCATGCGATGAATTCTGAATGATTCATAGTGACTATTTTATTTCTTTTGAAATTTCAAGAAAAACAAATCCGAATAATAATTGCACATGATTTTAATCTAAGATTTCTTTTTTTTTTAATGTTACTAATTTATCTCAAACAACAAAAAAAAAGAATACACTTTATTATTTTATACAGTAAGATATCTAAGAGAACTTTTGTTTTATTAATCGCGTGATTCTGATTGTTGACTGGAATCGGATAGAGTTCGTTTCGTACGTGAACGTTTTGTCCTAAAAGTTAAAAAATTTATTTTTGAAGTTAAATATTTTTTTTGTATTGATTTACTTTGCTCGTCTTTTACTTGATGTAGATGTATTTGTCATCGTTCGTGATGGAGGTTTTTCACTACTTGTAGTACTTTCATCTTCATCTTCAATATCTTCATCACCATCATCATTTAATGGTTGAGTTAATTGAGTATTATTCTCTGAAGCTAAGAAAATTTATTTAATGTATTGACTCTTGAATTAAAACTTCATCAAACATACTGTTACTAGTTTTCTTATTTGCTGATAATTCTTGCATGATTTCACGATGTTTACGAATATTTTTCTTACCTAAAACAAGATAAATATTTAGTTTGTATTCAGATAAAAATAAAAGCGAAAACCTACGTTCTTTTTCTCGTTCACGTTTAAGTCGATCACGACCGAGTAACTACATAAGAGAATTTTATTCAAATAGAATACAAATCATTAGTTACACTTACTGTATATGATGTAGCAGAAGAATATGAAAAAAGTCGATCAGATTCACGAAATTTAGCTGATTTATCAGCGGAACTGAATGAAAGAAAAACATAAATTATAAAAAAATCGTAACCGAATAAGCTTTTATTATTAGACTGCTTAATCAATATTTGTTAATCTCATATAGAAAACTTATGTAACTAATTGCATTCGAGGTTCATTTATTTCCCTTTTAAATCGCTTATAATCTGTAGAATTACAGCCGCTGAAATAATGCCGCAATCATTAAATAATTTCGTCATTTCAAGGTGGAAAGAATTTATTTCTTTTATGATAAATTCAAGTTTTGAAAGGATAAC